TTTTTTTAAGTCTATTTGCTCACTACTTTACTATAAAATTGTATCAGCTTTTTCATTGTAATGTTTATAAGCCTCTTGAAGTGTTTTATTTGGTTTGGCTTTGATTAAGAACCAGTTTTGTAATAAATCTCAAAAGTCACTTTCAGAGCCAGTCTATTGCATACTTTTATTATAAAATTTGATATAGTTTTCTTGTTTTCTCTAAAACAGAAATCTTTAGATAGCTGAATACCATCTTATTTCTGTATTTTGGTAAGCTATAGTGGTCTCATAGTCACTTTTCCTTTTCTCTTCCAACTCTGGCTCTTCTTCTAGTGCTGGTAGCTTAGAAAGTTTAGATAACTTGAGTGGTGCCAGGTCTTCCCAGCTTGGTAAAATATTTCTGAATAATTGTCTTAATACACTAGTGATACTATCAAATAATCTACGTTTTTCTTGAATATTATATAGTGTTAGAAAAAAGTTTAAAATAAAAATTATTTTATTTGGATAATTAGTATTTGATATTTATTCAAAAAAGAAACTATAGGAGATGAAAAAAAGATAATAACCTAAAATTTTTATAATTGTTTATATATTCTTAGAATTGAAGAAATGTACAATTAGAGATACTATAATCCAAAGAGATGTAAAGTCCATCAGAATTCACCTAAACAATATCTATGTATAGAACCTGGATGTAATAAAAAAAACTTTCTCTGGATATAGTGTTTGTAAAAAACATTCAAGCAAGTATCATTCTAAAGCATTTTATTAATATCAGAACTTGCAAAAATTTAGGCTAGTAACTGAGAATGTTTTGATAGTTTTAAAGATAATCTGGAAATAAATTTGTTTGGAAAATAGTCTGAAGATAAATCTAGAACCCAATATGTATATATTTATATTACTTGATTTTTTTATATTTTGCTTATAATTTGGTTACTAGTTGCTAGCATCTTTAGTGCTCTGCAACATCTGCATTCATATTTGCTTTATAGTTTGGTTACTAGTTGCTCCATATCTTTGATGCTTCGCAACATCAGCATTCATATAATTTGGTTACTAGTTGCTTCACACTTTTGATGCTTTGCAATATTGTAATTATTATTTGTTTTCATGTTTTGTATTTATGATTTGCCTCATATAATAGCATATATTAAAAAGGATAGCATATAGATCAAAAAAATATAGTATTTACCCTAAAGAGCTCCTGCTATATTTTTTCTTCCAAGCAACTTTTGCGTAGCAAAAAAACAATGCACTTAACGCAACCTGTTTAACGCAACAATACAATTCAACACCAATGATTACCGATGGTTGATCAAATTAATAGTATATTTGTTAAACTAAATTACAAAATTCATATACTGGATGTACTAAAAATAACCTTTCGCTTTGATCATCCATGCATAAAAAAATTTTCATTAATGCTAGATTTTTTTTTAGTTAATTTTGGCAACTATTCTAGATTTATTCTTGTTATTTTTAAAACTAGTCCAATTCAAGATCTGAAGAAGTTCACGAACAATAATTAGATATTTTGTAAAGATTCG